TTTTTTTTTTTTTTTTTTAATATGTTTTTATTGATTTTAGAGAGGGAGAGAGGGAAATAGAAACGTCAATGAGAAAGACATGGATCGGCTGCCACCTGCACGCCCCTTAGTGAATCGAACCAGGGACCTCTTGGTTCATGGGTTGATGCTCAGCCACTGAGCCACGCAGGCCCTGCCAGACCAGCTTTTTAATCCCACGCCCTGTCACTGAGCAGGCTGCTATGGGGGGCCGGGGCCTGCTGAGTGAAGTCCGATTCGTTTTTTTTCCTAACCCCACAGGCGAGAAGGCTTGGGGATTCGGATTCAGTGGGACAAGCAGAGCCGCCCGTCCTTCATACACAGGTGGAACCCCTGGTCCACCACCGTGCCCTACACCACGTTCATCGAACATCCAATGGCCGGTGCAGACGAGAAGACAGCCTCTCTGTGCCAAGTAAGACAGCCCGTGGCCGCAGCGCCGCCCAGTGGTGATGGAGGGGTCCTAGGCCTGCACTGCCCGGTACAGTGGCAGCGTGGCGCTGCCAAGCACTTGGCGAGTGGCTAGTAAAACAGGAAATACACTCTTAGTTTTTAATAATCTTAGTTGACTTATGTTTAAATGGCTTCATGTGGCTAGTGGCCACTGGTCAGCATAGCTTCATAATGTGGCCCTTGTAGCCATGATTTGGAGAAGGGCCGGGAGGGCTCTGGGGCAGGACGGCTGGCCCGGCCTGGGCTGGAGCCACGCAGTTTGTGTGCTCCCTGGGAGAGGCGGCCTGGGCCAGTGCTGAGGGCAGAGTCAGGCCCGGCGCAGGCCCCCCACCGGCCCACTGGGCGCCTGGCCTGCTTCCTGCCTGGCTGTGTAAGGATTGGGCAGTTCTCTGTGGCAAAACCTCTCAGACCTGCGGGGAGCAGGGTTCCGAGAGCACTGGCTGTCGTCCAGCACAGGTCGGCATAGGGGTGAGACCTGATGCTTCCAGAGCCCCACTGAGGTGGTAAGCCGAGGGCCACCAGGAGGTGGCTGGAAAGCAGGATGGGGGGCCTGGCACAGACCCGGCGGCCTGGGAAGGGTCTTTCCTTTTGTGGTTCACTCTGATCAGTTCTGTTTTCTCTCTCTTGAAAGCTGGAAAGCTTCAAATCTCTGCTGATCCAGGCTGTCAAAAAAGCCCAAAAAGAGAGTCCTTTGCCGGGACAGGCCAACAGCGTGCTGGTCTTGGAGCAGCCTCTCCTCATCGAGACCTACGTGGGGCTGATGTCCTTCATTAACAACGAGGCGAAGTTGGGCTATTCCATGACTAGGGGCAAGATCGGCTTCTAGAGGCCGCACATGGGGAGCCTCTGGAGAGCCAGGTGGACGAGGGGCTCAGGTGGCAGGCCTTGGGCCCGCTGCCACCGCTGCCAGGGTCAGGCCGCTTCTCTCTAGGGGTCTGAGCACAATTAGAATATAGTCACATGACTTGTATACTTTAGGTGGGTATGGACGTGTGGGCACGAGCTGCAGACTGATGCAGGCGGCATGCAGCTGTCGCTGTGCGGGCTGCTCTTTACCTCCAGGAATTCGTTTCTGCGGTTCTCCTGGAGTCTCCCCTGGGCTTCTCCCGTCCTCCCACCACCCTTGGGCCTATTAATAAACGTCCTGTGATTGACTAGAGTGTCCCCACTGGCCCTTAGCTGTGTGGGTCGTCACCTGGAGGCACCTCACACCAGTGCCCCTAGTCACAAATAAGTCTACATCTGATGTCCAATAGTGTGTTTGGAAATGGAATCCGTTTTTAATGCTAAATACTGAAGCAGCAGCAGCCTAGTGAGGCCAGCAGGGGGCAGTGCCTGTCAGCTCCCACACAGACAGCTGCTCTGGTGTAAACAGGTGTCTGGTCAAAAGTGACACTTTTTCTTAAAGTTGATCTGTATTACTATCTGTGGTGTCTTTCTCAGGCCTAGAAACTGCTGAAAGTCATTTGCAGAAAAGTCATTGATTTGAGAAAGTCACCTGAATAGTTCTTTGCCCCCAGTTTTGACAGCTGCTATATTCAGAGTTTGTATTGTTACAGTCAGTGGTGGTTAAACAGGAAATCGCTTCCTTTGCTTTTAAAGAAAGCACTTTAAAAACAAACAAAGGAACCAGGTTCTCACAAAGCAGCTCCTACACAGACACAGGCTTCCTCGGGGGGCTTGTCTCACCCACGCCTGGGCCTTGCACCAGGGAGCCTGTCACCGTGGGGGCTGCAGCCCGCCGCCCCTGCGCCGCCACGGCTTGCTGCTGCGACTGGAGTGTTTGCTGATATACCTGTTGAAAGAGTGCTGGCTCCCCAGTTTCCTCGTGTCCAGCCCCGGGGTGGCCGTATGGGGTGGACAGGACCCAGCGTAGCCACCTGTGCGCTCGGAAGGCGGCCTGTGCGCTCGCTGGCCCTGAGCCCCTGCTTTCAGTCTTGTAGTAAATACACTTAGAACCACTGGGTGTTGGTCATCTTTCGAAGTTCTTATCATAAGAAGCACAACCACCAAGAAAGTCACCCCTCCCAGGACTGCATTTTGAAGCTTGACCGTGTCTGTCCCCGCTTTGCGAGCCTGCCACCTGCTGTCAGGTAGTGACGAGGGTTCTCGGGGATCCTCGCCTGGCCACTCTACAGGACACGACAGCCTGTGCAGTCACCTCTACCAGGACAAGGACTCCTGGTTGGAACCCGAACGCACCTGTCGTGCTCCTCCCTCCCCCTGGTGGCCTGTCAGACGCACCTGAATCGGAGCTGGCGGGTGGGTTTGGGTCCACAGCGGGGTGCAGACTCCCTGCGGAATCCACTCCGCAGGTGGGGACTGACCTTGACCAGCCCCGCTTTGTGGCACACCCTCGGTGCATGGGCTCCCTCCCCGCATTCCAGCACACGCTGTCCCCAAACCTGCAGTGACAGGATGGCAGCTCAAAGCCAAAACAGGGCGTCTGTCTCGGGGACAGGCTGCTTGGGGTTCAGTTCTTCCCCCTAACACAGTGAACCAAAATCTTAAAGCTGACCTAGAAAACTCCTTGTGACCCAGCCCTCCAAGAAAACCAGCACCAGCCTTTCTATGAATTAGTGAATATTTAAATAACAAAAATTAGTTTTACACCATACATATTTACAAGAACGTCTTGCTATAGAAAAGTAACAGCAAATTGTCTCACGTGGACCACCGTGGTTGGAGCTGCCCCGGAGAAGCTCCTCTCCCACGGCCGGCACGCCTGCACCTGCCTCCGCTTCCCGTGGCCGCCCGTGCACAGTCCTATGTGTGGCTGCCCAGCTTCCCACGGGCGGTGTCCCCGTCCTCCGTCTCCAAGAAGCACAGGCAGAAGTGGTCCTTGCTGAGGAGGGCCAGCGAGTCCCCACTTAAATGCCAGCAGAGAGCGAGCACCTGGAAGTCACCTGGGGAGGACGGTGGCAGGAGGGTTAGGGTGGGAGGCCAGGGTCCCAGCGTGAGCACAGCCCAGGTCCTGTGGGTGCAGGGACAGGGCGGGGTGACCCAGCTAGAGCCCCAAACCGCCTCCACTCACGGGCCTCTCCCTGCCCACCGAGGCCCAGGCTCACCTTCCCCAGGCACCTGCACGGACACGCAGCCCGCCGGCGACCACAGGTACACCTTGCTGCCTCCTGAGCAGATGGCCAGCCGGGGCTGCTGTGGGTCCCACTGGAAGGAGCGCACGGGGAACAGCTGCTCGAGCACCACGAACAGCCGCAGCTTCTGTATGTCCCAGACCCACACAGCGTTCGGGACGTTGTCTGAGGACAGGGGACAGGCCACAGCCGTCACCCCGAGCTCCTGCCTCAGCCCTGCCGGGCTCTGACACACCTTACGGCCAACACGAACTCGCGGTGGCAGTGGACGTGGGGCCCTGGGCCGACTCGTGCTCCCAAGTCTGCACCGGGGCCCATAGTCACTCCCTCAGGCTTACTGGCCACACGGGCATGTTTGTTTGTTTTTTAAAACTTTTAAAAATGTAAAAACCTTTTGTTGTTAATTCTCACCTGAGGATGTTTTTCCCTTGCTTTTCAGAGAAAGTGGAAGGGAGGGAGGGGGGCAAGAGAGAAGCACCAATGTGAGAGACACATCGACTAGCTGCCTCCTGCAGCTCAGGGACCTGCCCCCGACAGGGATTGAACCTGTGACCCTTAGGCCTGTGGGCCGATGTTCTAACCACTGAGCACACTGGTCAGGCCTGACAATCCTCATATAGAGAGGCCACGGCTGTAGCAGGGCCTGGACCCGTCCTTCACCAGGAGGGCGGAATGAGTGGAGAGGAAGCGGGCATTGGGCAGAGTGGCCCAAAAGCCGGCTCCCCGGAAGCTTCTGTAGAGGAACGTGGGCCGTTTCAGCAGAAAGGGGGGCAGGGAGCCTGTCGGCTGATGTTCCTTTCAAACTGTCAGTGTCCTGGGCACCAAAGGGAACGCTGCGTGGACAGGACACAGCGTGTCCGCACACTCACCGTTCCTCGTGGCCAGGAAGTAGCTGTCGGGGCTGAAGGCCAGGGCACCTATGCCGATCTTCGGGTTTGCTCTGTCGGCAGCGGGTTTCAGAGTCTGCAGGGTCGCTGGCACCGCGGCGATCTCATCTGGAACACACATTGCATCTCAGCACAGCCACGCACACCTGAGACGCTGTGTGGCCTGCGGTCCTGACCCTGATGGGGACAGAGCCTCTGACCGACCCCGTCTGCTAGGTCCAGGTGCAGGAAGAGGTTACGTGACCTTGAAAGCATCAGGGACATAGGGGCCTGGCGGGGAGCTGGCTGTGGTGTCAGGAGGCCACCGGGGAAGCACCTCTGCCCCCCATCTCCGCAGCTGCAACGCCTCGGTGTTTCCTGTCATGGTCCCACCCCCAGCATCTGTTTACAGCAGGCTGCTTCTCGCCCTAACATTCGGGCCTGGACCATTCAGACGCAGAAAAAGCGTGTTAGAGAACTTTTAGGGAAGTGACTGTACTCTGCTATTTTTCATGTCAATACAGGTTCACCCACTGTGACAAATGCCCCCTGCGAGGTAGCCGTGCATGTGGGGGCAGGAGAATCTGTGCCACCCTGTTTTGATGTAAACCGAAAGCTTTCTGAAAAGGCTGCCCGGAGAGAAACAGCATCAGGAAACCAGAAGAGGCCGCAGACATCATGGCCCGATGTGTGAACTCACTGCCTCCGGCCGCCCCGTCCCCTCCCTAACCCCCCATGGGCGCTCACTGCTGGGGCTGTGCCCATGCTCTGGGCCTCCACTTAAAGCGTGTCTGACCCCACGTCACAGGTGAGACCCACGCACGAGGGGCTGGCCAGCCCTGCACTGCTGTTGCCTCCCGTCCGTCTGGCTCACCCGAGGGGATTGTTCTTAAACTAAGCCCTCAGAGTGCCAGCTGTCAAGTTTGGATTTCCAGAGCTGACAACAAACGCCATGCCCAGGTGCCGACGGGGTCCCTGTGGCGACGCTGGCATGAGGTGTCCCGGGAAAGGAGAAAGGACCTCTGAAACGTGCGCGGACAGAGGCCTCTTTTTCACAGAACAGGAAAGGGGCTCACACTTGCTCTCGGCAGCCCTGGGTGGCGGGCAGGTGGGGCGGCCCAGCAACCCCCTTGGGCTCTTCTCGGCTTCCTTATACACCACCTGGAAGACAGGGGGGCAGGCGTTGCCACTGCCGGCACGGGACACGGGGACACGGGACACCACTCCCTCGTGGGTTCTCAGGGTGGGCTCCCCGCAAGCCCACTAAGAACGGAGGTGGTGATGGTGGCCGCTGCATGTTCAGTCGGCCGGTGAGCAAACAGGCACCTCAGTGGGGGGAGAGGCTCAGGGAACGAGGGGAACCTGGGACCTGAAACTGACAGGCCAAGGGCCGCACCTAGGCTCACGTCCCTGGGGCCTGTAGGTGCCTCAAGATGCCACCGTAGCCCCTGCTCCCTCCTCCCTCTCCACTGAACTGCCTGGGCCACCCGACCTCACACTGTCCCTGCAGCCCCACGGGCTCATTTCCTGCTCACCACAGCTGCCCTGTCTCTCACTCAGGTCTCCCATCGGTGGGCAAACGCCCAAGGCCAGGGCTTCTATCTGTGTCCCCAGCCGTCCCCCCAGCACGTGCTGAATGAGCAGACGCACACCCTCACCTCAGGACCTTTGCACTTCCTGTCCCCGCCGCCCGACACGCTCCCCCCACTGCACAGTCCTCCGGTGTCTGCCCTGTCCGCCCCCCGGCAGGCCGCACCCTGCCCGCCCTGCGGAGATACCAGCTCCCCCAGCCCTCGCCCCCGCTCCGCAGGGCAGGGCGCTGTCTGCAGACTGCTCAGCGCTGGGGGGCAGGAGGCCCAGGACTGTGCAGGAGCAGATCTGAGACGAGCCGTCCGGGGTGGCGACAGGGCAAGGACACCGCTTGGTGTCCAGTGGGAATGCAGGCAGGAGCAGCAGGGCACTGGCCGCACGTACGCTGGGAGGCCCTCCGCGCACTCTGGCCCCAGTGACGGAAGCGCCTGCCTCACCACCCACGGCGTCAGGTGAGACGCGCTCGCCCCCCCTCCCCGGTGCTGCTCACACAGACGGGCGCCCACGTACCACTCTGGGGTCGCCGACGGCTGCAGGGTGCCCGAACTCCGTGAGCATCTTCCAGGTCACGTGATTGAGGATGCGCACCTGGGGGAGGACTGCGCATGAGACACACCGCGTGGGGACGCCTGCCCTGTCCTGGGGTTGACCGCACCGGGTGCCCTTTCCCACCTTCCCGTCGTAGCTCCCGACGGCCAGGAACTGACTGCTGGGGCTCCAGGCCACCGACTTGATGCCCAGGGACCACTCGTAAGCACAGTACGCGGCCAGCAGCCGGCCATCCAGGGAGTAGAGCAGGACCTTATACTGCAGGCGAGACGGGCGGCCGCTGGTGAGTGCGGCCTGGCAGACAGCTGCGGCGGGGGAAGCCTGCGGGCACCGCCCTCCGAGTCTCGGGGACAAGGGGCGATCGATCGGTGGTGATGGCGCCGAGGCACCGAGAAGGCGGCGGGCGAGCCCAGGGAGGAGCGCCTCGCGTACCTCCAGACAGGTGTCCCACACCGCCAGCACACAGCCGTTGGGCGCCCACTCGATGCCGGCGAGGTCCTGCGTGTCCGTGTCAAAGTGCTGCCGCGGGAAGAGGGAGAGCCGGTTAGGTCGGAAGTTCTGTCCGGCACAGACACACGGTTACCGCGTGGTTGATGTTTTTAACTCGTCCAGACACAACTTCCTTTTCCAGAAATGGACAGGAAAGGCCACGGTGCCCTTCCTGGCCGATACGCACCGCAGTGCCGGGGGTGCCAGGGCCGGCCGGGGGCGCTGCCTGCCTGTGGTGGGGCTCCTGCCCGCCCACCGCTGCCCTGGACTCTTCTCCCCTGGGCACAGCCGGTGAGGCCTCCGTGCCCTGACATCGCTCCCGGGGTCTCCCTGCCGCGGCCCTGCCTGCAGCGTGAGCACCTGCGAGCAGGGCTCAGAGCCCCGGGTCCTCGGCCCCCGGAGGAGCCTCACCACGCAGAAGCTCCGTGTCAGAGTCAAGTCCACGGCTCTTCCTGGCAAAGCCGCACGGGCCATCAAACTAACGCAGAATGAAAGGGCCCCGTGTGCTGGCCCATTAACCCTGAACACACCCAGGCCCCACCATCCCCACCACGTCCCGCAGACGCTTCGCCGGCGGGTGTCACCCAGGGTCACCGGCGGCTTGCCGCCCTCAGAGACCCGAGGTCACGTTTCCCACACGACCCCGAAGGACAGGCCGGCTCCCTGACCGCTGGGCGCAGGACAGTCCCCGGCGGGGGTGCGGCTCACCCGCAGCAGCTGCCAGTTGCTGCAGACGAAGATGCTGACGTAGTCCTTGCAGTCCCGCCGCTCGGCCACGGCCAGGTAGCGGCCATCCCGTGAGAAGGCGATTCCTGCGGGGAAGAGGAGGGCCTGGAGCCGGGGAGCCGAACCGGAGACAGGCCGGGGCTGTTTCCAAGGAAGAAGGTGGGCAGCCCAGGCGGGCACAGCGGCCCGGGGGAGAGGGCGGCGGCCCGGCGTCACCCCGGCAGCGTGGCCGAGCTCCCACGGGCCCGCAGCCGCCGGAACCTGCGAGACGCAGTGACCTGCCCGATGACCCACACGTCACCGCAAGGCGCAGCCCCCGGGGGCTGTCCCGTTTTCAGAGGACAAATCACAGGGCGCTGGGTAGCTGGAAGCCAGCCGGTTGCTACATTTCTATTTTTACGTCTCAATCTAACTATTTGGAAGGAGAGGACTTAGGATAAGAGCCTGGAAATGTCAGCTGGCAGAGCCCAGGGGCACCTCCCCCGCGCCCGGGAAGCGCACCTGACTCTCGGAGGGTGGTCCCCACACGGAAACGCCCCCGCCGCCTGGAGAGACCCGCCCTCGAACCCCAGGAGCAGGCGACAAATGCACACGGCCCCTCGGCCCCTCAGCCAAACGCAGGCTCGACGCTGCTGACGGCAGCAGAGGAAAAGCGAAGCCGTTGAAGCCACGTGACGCTTCCGTTTCCTAAACCAAGACACTTGATGCAGTGTCATGACGAGCCCTCGTGGTCCAGCGGCACCCCGGGGACCGGCTGCGTCGGAGCTGCCCATCCCCCCGACGGCTCAGAGGACACCTGTCGCTTGCCCCCCTCTGGGATGTCCAGACGGGACAGGCCACCACCTCCCTCGACAGAGATCAGATCAGTCAACAGGAGATGGAGAGATTTCGGGTTCAGCATTCGAGGCGTGAGGGGGGCCCCTGACAGACAGGAGCTGGCGGGGCCTGAACTCAGCCCTGTGACGGAAAGGGAATCACACGTCAACCCCGTCCCTCATGTCCCTCTCCAATCCCTGTGGCCTGTTTTAAAGGGGGTCTCGTCTTCCAGAGACACGTGGGGATATTTACAGATGGGCACTAGGAGGTCGGGGACATGCTTTAAAATAATCCAGGGGTTCAGGGGAGATAAAATAATCCTGGGGTTTGGGGGAGATAAAATAATCTGAGGGTTCAGGGGAGATAAAATAATCCAGGGGGGGAGGTAAAATAATCCTGGGGTTCGGGGGAGATAAAATAATACAGGGGTTCAGGGGAGATAAAATAATCCGGGGGGGAGATAAAATAATCCTGGGGTTCGGGGGAGATAAAATAATACAGGGGTTCAGGGGAGATACAATAATCCAGGGGGGAGATAAAATAATCCGGGGGTTCAGGGGAGATGAAATAATCCGGGGGTTTGAGGGAGATATAAAGTAATCTGGGGGTTGAGGAAGGAGATAAAATAGCCCGGGGTTCAGGGGCACAGAGGAGGAAGACGCCGTGAGCGGACGCACGGCTGCTGAGGCCCCTGCGGCCGCGCCTGAAATCCCCCCGATAGAAGATCAAAGAGCCTGAACCGAGCACCAGGGCCGGGCTTGAGTTCTCTGCGGGGCTCACCCTGCTGGCAGGCCTTCGGGTACTTGATGTAAGAGACGGATTTCGTGCACAAGGACCAGACAGTGATCCGCAGCTGTGGGGAGAAGGGGAGAGAGGCGACGGGCACGGTTACACTTTCCGAGGGGAAGCGGACAGAGCCCGGCCCGGCCGCAGAGGAAACGGGGTCGCCGGTGCCAGGGGCTCTCCCTCGAGGGCACAGGGCTCACCCCTCACTGTCCTCCGTGTTGCTGTCACTTTGTAACAATATCATTTGAGTGGCACAAAGTTAAATCAATACACAGAGTTACAATGTAGATGCCGTTTAGCTCAGTTTCTGAGCGATCGGCTGGCACACAGTGACAGACGGACGTGGTCCCTGTTCTGAGGAACATCGTCAGCCGGGAGCACGTGGGGCACTGTCTCCTCTCGCTGTGGAGCCTGCCTGGCTCCGTGCCCCCTGGGAGGCCGTGAGCGGTGGCCCCACCCAAGGCAAGAGGTGCACCCCGAAACCACTGAGGGATGCCGACCGCCACTCCCTCCAAGGATCTCGGGAGGCACCGCTGTGGGCACACGTCTGTCTTCCCGTCCCCTCCCCGCCACAGGCAGGTCAAGGGGACGCAGAGAGCCTGGCGGTGGGGTGGACCCCGTGCTTAGGAAGACGCACCTGAAGTGGGGGCGTGAGTCGTGGCCTTTAACTATTGCCCTTTAACTCAAAACGCCTGCTACTTCCACACTGAGATTAAGGGCCTCCTAGCCCCTCTCCCCCAGTCTCCCCGTGGGGCCTGAACGCACACGATCACCCTTGACCTGAACTTCTGTTTCTGGAAACTCTCTCCGTGCCCTTCCACCTGGTGAGAGCTGAGCCGGCCCTGCAGCTGCTCTGCCAGGTGCACAGAGACGCCCACAGCTGCTCCGCAGGACGCCCCGGACAGCACCGTGGTGAACAGTGACGTCTGTGTCACAGGCCTGCAGCGAGCGAGGAATGGGCCCAAGAGCCGCTTTTGGTCAGATGAGTGTAGCTAAGAAAACGCAGGACCTCCTAAGAAGTGACGTGCAGGGCACTGCGGCCTGCACCAGGCGATGCCGGCAGACCAGGCCCTGGTTCCCGTGTGGGAGGCGGGAGGAGCTGATTCCATCTTCCTTCTTGGAAGGGTCCCTGGTGTCCTCACTGCCTCTGCAGGCTCACCTGGCACCAGGAGGGAAGGTCTGGAAACGCTGCTGCCGAAAGCAGACCCACCAGGAGCGGGGCTCACGGAGGCTGCCAGGTGCAGCTGAGGCGAGGGGACAGGTCGGGCACTAAGGATCCACCTGTGACACCCAGGCCCAGCGCCACCTGGAAGCTGACCCCCTCCTGCACCCCAGGGCGGGCAGAATGCCTAGAAAACTCACTTCCCGAGACACGGGGCTCTCAGCAGCGGGACTCGGGCGTTGCCACAGAGCACCCCTGACTGAGCTGGCACACACACTGCCAGCCTGATTTCTACCCTCCCACCCCCATCAAAAAAGTTTAAAAAGACGACTGTTTGTAACTTTAACAAATCTAACGTGAAAGAGGCATAAGTTCTATGAACTCCAGCAACACAAGAGGAGAAGCAGTTCCCACAAAGGCGGGCTCGCTACACACCAGATCCGACTGGGACGTAGCGGGGCTCCCACCGCACTCGCCGCAGGGCCTCGGGGCCCTCCCACAGCCCTGACTCAAAGGGGGACAGGATGCAAAACAGGCTGCGCTGCTCACGGAGCGTGAAGGTGGCCACGGCCTCCCGGCCCCGATTCCGACCCGGCCCAGGGGCTGCACCACAGGCTCCTGGGCCCGCGCACTTTTGAGCATCTCCACATTTTATTGAGAGACAACTTCAGCTTTTAAAAAAGTTAATTTCCTCACCCCCTTTTCCATAATACTCTCAAGTTTTCTGCCATAAAAAGTTTGTCTCGATTACCTCATTGTGGCTGCTGGAAAATGGGAAAACTCCAGGACTTAAGCAAAATACTTAAAGTGACGTTTCCCACTTTAAGGGAGTGTCTGGAAAGCTGATGCCAACACGGCCCCGAGAGCAGCCGGGGCCCCTCGGTGGGAAACGTGATTCTCGATTCTCCGTTTTGCTGCAAATGGACACGCTGAGGTCAGATGCTGAGCGGGCTTTCCACAGGCAGACAGCCCCGAGCTTTATAAGACACGTGCAAGATCTACGCCTAAAAACATGGTTTCGGAAGAAGGCGGAGACTGCAGCGGGAAGGGACCCACGCTTGTGGGCCCCAAGACTCAGTACTGCCCAGACTGCAGTCCCCCAAAGTGGTCTCTGGGTCAGTGCGACCTCAGCCGGGAACCCTGGCGGTGTTTTCACAGAGACTGACAAATTCCTTCTCAGACAGACATGGAAACACAAAGGACCCGGCACGGCCGAAACGGCTCAGAAAAGACAAAACTGGGACACTCCCACCGGCTCCGGATTCCAGACTTACGACAGAGCCGAGTGGTCAGGAGAGCGTGGTGCTGGCACAGAGACAGACAGACAGACGGAGGGACAAGACAGGATCCAACACAGACCCGCACAGCCAGGGGACGGCTCTGACGAGGCGCGGGGCGGGGATGGATATGATCCCGCGCCGGCCTCACAGCGACGCTAAGGAGCCAGACCACGACTCGCCGGAAAACACAGGCTGGCCGGGGGTGTCTTTAGACACAAACTACACAAACCATAAAAAAAAACCCACCGCTGTAACCATGTGATCCTGAGGCACACGTGTAAGCTGTGTGTGCGTGTGCGTGTGCGCACATGTGTAAACAAGGCAGGAAAGCTCTCCTCGTGACCAGCAGGGAAATGAAAACTAAACCCAATGCAGCCCCACAGCGGCTGCACTGGGCTGGCGATTGCTCTGAACCACCCCAACGCCAGGCAAAGCCCCAGGTCACATCCCGGAGAGGACGCCCCACGCGGGCTGTAGGAGACACAGTGTATCCTCAGCACCCTGGGCGCTAACACGAAATGCGCCGCACGCAGGCCCCTGGGGACACTGGCTGCAGGAGGGGCCAAGGCGCTGGGGCCTGGGCTTCCTGTTCCCCGGCCGGCTGCGCCCACGCGCTTCCTGTCTTGGCTCACTGAGCCTTGTCCAACGACCACAACATTTCTCCCTCACGCTGTCCCCGGGCACAGTCCCCCTCACGCTGCCCTGTAGGAGGCAGAGGCCCACGCCGCGTGCCAGCTCGAGGCGGGATGGTGGCCCGCGAATCCTGGGTACCGGGGCTGTTCCACGGGGCTCCAGGGAAAGCTCCAGGCGTCTGAGAACCCGCGTCGGGAGCACCTTTAACACGTCGGCGTGGCCGGTGCAGAGGCCAGGAGCCCTTCGCTTGCTGCCTCAGCCTCCGACCGCCTGGATCAGTGGCACTGCCGTCACTAACCTAGTTAGTAATAGCTGGAGAGGAGCGAAGGGAAGGCCCAATACCATAGGAATGTCACCTGGGCAGCTTTCCAGGAAACTGGACCTGGCTGCAACGAGGAACAGAAACTCTGGACACTGGCTTTGCTTCCAGCTCTACTGAAGCCCCAGATACACCTCTAGGACTAGAATGGGACTTTGGAAACCAGGGATATAATTCCACACAAATAAAAACCACTCATCCTCCTGTGAGAGTCTCAGAAAATTCTTTTTCTTGAGATATCATAAGGGCCCCACCCCCAGTGCCCAGTAGGGAAGGGGACGCCCCAATTTCCCCGACAACACATCAGCAGGCACTAGATTTCAGGAGTCTGAAAATTGAAACAAAATACAAGAAGCCACACAGCTGCCTGAGGCGGTTCGCCCAGCTGACCCCTCCCAGCTGGACAGAGAACTTACCCCAGGGGGTGCCCCCTGAAAAGCCGAGTGACCCCGAGGTCACTCTGGGAATTAATGTGGCCCCACCCACGTGCGAGCCTGTGCCCAGCAGAGCCTAGAGTCAGGGGCGTCCACGCAGCCAGCAGCCCGAGACAGCCGACGGCAATCTGGGTTTAGGGCCCAATGCCGGGGGCCCGAGTGCCGCCTCGAAATAGCACAGGAGCTTCGCGCATGTTTCCGTGTTTCAAAAACATGCTGCAGACACCAAGCACCTCGCACACGCCGGTCCCTCACTTGGTACGTTGTGAGAGGGACGCACCGCCCGAGCTCTGAGGGTTTGCTGTGGGACCTCGCACATCCGCCCCCTGCTCAGAGCCCCGGCAGGGCCCCGCAGAGCAGAGAAGGTGTTGGAGGGACAAACCAACAACCCGCTTACAGGCACCCCAGGCCAGACGCCCACGGAAGACGTGAGTCAGTTCACACTGAAGCACCCTCTAGGGCTAACTCACAGGAGCCATTTAAATCCTTAAAATGTAATTTAAGGTTTATTTTAAAAAATCTGTCCATTTCTCTTTAAAACCGATAGAAAGATGACATAACACCACTCAGGGGCTCTGGCAACCTGAATGTAAATAAGTCCCTCTCCGCAGGTCGCCCGCGCTCAGGTGCCCAGCCCGCCTCTGGGGTCAGGGGCAGGAGTCGTGTCCTTGTGCAGGGGGCGGGGGCGGGGGCCACTCACGTGGAACTCGGTGGTGTTGAGGATGTGGCGCCCATCGGGGCTCCAGCAGGAAGCCACCAGCCCCGCGGAGCCCTCGTCGATCCTGCAGTGCCACTCGGGCTGCTCCAGCGACCACACCTGGGCTCACGAGAGAGACACACAGGCCCAGGTGAGCCAGGGCAGCAACACGGCTTAAAACAACGGCAGAGTCAAACAGGACAGTGTTACCCATCTCTCACTACGCTGGACAGTGCCAGGCCGCACCCCAAGTCACCACGCTTCTCGGGGGTTCATTTTGCTGTGGTTTTAAAGGTGTCTTCCTTTGCCTCCCTAAGCCTCACCTAGTTAGGCCCTGAGACGGAACACCGTGCCTTAGAGCTTCCCAAATGCACCGTGTCCAGGACGCCGGGCTTGGTCTGCAAGCCCTTCCTGTCGCTGAATTACATTTGGTGACAGATGCAGAACAGTTAAGTGTTTTCTCATTCTGAAAGTACTCGAACTACAGAACTACTACAATTTTCAAACCCCAGCTGGCTTTGAGGGTCACTGCCCTAAACTTTCCAAACCAGAAGGGTAGAGAACAGTCATCCCGTCCGACTCATTCCTGGGGATGGCCTCTGGGCCGGCACCCCACACCCCTCAGCGTACCTGCACCAGCCCCTCAGCCCCCAGGCATACCTGCACCAGCCCCCCCCACATACCTGCACCAGCCCCCCCACATACATG